GAAATAAAGTGATTAAACAAAAATTATTATAAATATCGTAAATAACAGTTCACAAATGCATATATAGAGATATTTTTTGAAGGGGGGAAATGGTCTTCACAATTTGAAATCGATCGAACACACTGTGCGCGAATGCTTGTGTAAACGCACGCCATCTATCGTAGGATAAATGTACTTTGCGGGAGTGTATTAAAAAATTAAAAAAAGTTTCCGAAGTTTTATGGCAATCGTACTATGCCACAAACCTTCGCCAGAGTATATTAAACAACTTCCCAAAGTTTCACGGCAATCGGATAAACGGTGTGGTAATGCATGAAGGACACACACACACACACACACTCGTTTTTATATATATAGATTAATATATAATTATATGTACAGTACCTAATTTATATATAATTTATATAATACTGTCCAGATGATAGAAATCTCTCCGTAGCGTGGCGCTATGGACAGCGGGAAAGTAGTTCAGCTGCCCGATGACATTTTACATAATTATAGGAGTTTTTTACCTTTTTTACGGATACCGTCACAATTTTTTTGCAGTTTTATAGGAATCGTAATTATAGGGGGGTCGACTGTATGTATAATTTTTTGAGAATAATCTATATAAACTATGCTATAAACAAAAAATTGTAGGATTACCAAGTGTGCACTGTTTGATGATGCCATTGCTTAAGCTTGTTTTCGTCGTGGAGTGGTGCATCGAACGGCGGGCGCATGTTTCCTGATAAATTATTTTTCTGTGAAAAATTCATTGAACTTTGGAGACATCATTAATATAAATATAATTTTTATGGACGTTAAATAATAAATGGTTTTAGTAGGTCCGCTGCTCGTTTAAACTCAATGGTTTGTGTAATATCCACTATTGGTCTAGATTCGACCAATCCTGTTGTGACACTAGTTGGCGATGATGTTTTACCATATCATACGAGTCTCTTTTAACGTGTTTATACGAATACAGTCACAATGTTTTCACCATTATATACGAATCCGTTTTATAGGGGGTCTACTGTAGTTTGTAATTTTGGATGAGGTAATTACATGGGAAACATTACTGTAATTCAATATCTGGCTTATTAGGTTGGAATTTCTTTGATTATAAAATGTTTTGATAACTATTTTTCTAAAAGTGATGTATATTAATATATTCCAATGTTATGTCAACTTAATAATAAACAATTATGTAGGACTTTTTTAATCTGAATTCCAGTAGCCTGAAATTCTGGTTAATTTGAACGGGCAAAAAAATCTAGACAAACGTTTCTTTAAACAAAATATGTGGTTGTTGTGCTTACTTTGCACTACTCAGAGTATATAGTGTATACAAATTCTCAAAATAAGTTTTAAAATTTGTTGGAACAGAAAATAAAGACCTAGTCTCTTATCTCTCCTACCTATACAGTCATACACTTGCTCATGGACAGAGATTGAAAACTTCCACATATGTGAACTAAGTTTGTCAATTCTCAAAAAACTGACTTGCGTATTGGTTATCTGAAGTAATACAACAGATTCATACAACTAATAGTGTATTAAGAAACTCCACATTAACATTAGCAAATACTTTGAAAAAAAATTTTTGATAATCTGAAACACTAGCTAATCCAAACAGGCTTAGACCCCAATTAATATGGATTATGAGGTTCTACTGTATTATAATTGTATGAAAGTGTAATTGATTTCTGTTTGTATATCATCGAATATTAATTGGATTTTTCTAAAGATAACTTGCTATTTTAAAATATTTATCATATTGTTCCAAACATATGAGAGAGATTCTAATAAAATTTAAGAATATCTGTTTTATGAATGAATTAAGTTTGAAAAGAAAATTGCAATTATAATGAACTATTTGTATTAATGAAAAGCCAAACTGGCTTGATTTTACTATTTAAAATAAACTTCTCACAAATAATACAATAACAAAACATTTTTACAAAAGATTTGTGTATTTATTAGATAATGTTGCGGAATAGTTTTTTAATTTATTGTAATAAATACAAGACATAATCAATGAATTCGTGGACTAACTATTTTGCAGTTTTGCTGCTGTTGTAGGATTTTGACATGTAGAATGTTTAAAGAAATTTTAAGCAGTTATACACACCAAATATTAATATAAAAAGAATAACATATATCACTGTCTGTTAGCATTATGACAGACAGTGATATACAACAGAGTTAGCTAAAAAAGCGATAGAAAGTAACTTTGAACCAATTTGTTTACAAGTTTTCCTTCTAAAAAGATGTAGGGGTCAAAAAACGATATTTATATGGGAATCACTTTATATCTCAATGTTGTCATTGTGCAACTCTCACATGCTGGATATACTGGAGTTGTGGACAGCGTTGTTTAGCCTTCTAAGGTTCTAAATCACATAGTTCCTGATAAAACACCTTGTAGTGATAGTAACACCACTATATGTTTGTTTTTGTTTAATAACTAATAATGACTATTTAATTCATTATTTTTTATGTACTTTATTTTAATTTATATATTCTTGATGTTTTATTTTACATTTCATCATATTTTGTGTTAATGTACAATTTAAATTTTCATGCATATGCAAGACAAACAATTTTGAAAAAATGTTGGTTGATGTGTGGATTCTTTTTCTTGAATTCAAATGTCTTGTTTTCTGGAATCTCTAATAATGATTCTACCTGAAGAGGACAGTTTTAGACTGTCAAAAGTACTTGAAAATAAATTATTTTTTCATAACATTGACAGACAGTGATATACATTATTTTTTTTATGTAGATGTTATGAAAAAATAATTTATTTTGCAAACACTTTCGACAGTCTAAAACTGCCCTCTTCAGGCAGAATCATTATTAGAGATTGTAGAAAACTATGTAGAATGTTTAGTGGTAAATTCTTGGACTAACTATTCTGCAGCATTGTTGCTATTTGACACATGTTGAATGTTTAATGGGAAATGAGTTCTACTTTCAATAGTAAATTCTTGTAAACTACAATCCAGCTAATGCCATAGGTTATCAGGCTAGATATCTGCTAACAATTTTTGGTACTAGAGGGAGACATTAGGTGCCATCTCTTAATAAATTTAATAATTATAATTTTAATTAAATAATTTAAATAATTTAGAACTACTGGAAGAAAAGAATCGGCTCAGAGTAGGACTCGAGCCCGCAACTCCTGCTTACTGTGCAGATGCATTGCCAATTATGCTACCCGGATCTCTGGTCTGATCTCCTCTTTCCATATATTTAAGCATAGTTTATACATACTGGCCTTGCTGAGGTTTGTGATAGCTAGTTGAGTGCCTTGAGAGATGTTTACAGGATGTGGGTGCTAGATGCATCCTCAATCAACATTGTAATAACTGTTGATAGTTATAACATATGCTTATATATACTGATGAGTACTGATTGGTTTTCCCTTGTCTCCAGATAACAATTCGAAATCTTTTGAACCACATGAGATGTTCACATTGATGCTCAACCTGTTACTAATCAGATAGTATTCCTCTGAACTTTGAAACTCTCCATTGTAATTCCAGCTTTTTGTTTACCTTTCTGACAAATAATTTTTTATAGTCTTTGTGAGACTGTTGGGCACTCATTAAGTTTTGTGTCGGTTTTTATTTTCTAAAGGTGAGAATTTAACTGTCCTATCAGACATTTGTTAACATTTTAACACCAAACTTTTGAATTTTATTCAGGCTTCACATTTACATAATTCTTTTGTGCGCTAGTCAATTTCTGTTTTCTGAATTTTTGTGAGTGCTTTTCTGAACTTTTAATTTCAAAAAGATATTGATAATATTATGGAGCCTAAAAAGAGTGAGTGTCAAGAACCGTGCTCACTATAGAAACCAAGCAAGAGATAATAGCCAAGGTAAAGAGTGGGCAGATGTCTGATGCTGCTAGGCAGTATGGCTTGAACAAATCTACAGTAGGCACAATCTTAGCTTAGAAAGATATAATCAAGAAAACTCAAGGAGCTAAAAGAGTAATGAAAGTTACATCTGAGAAACAAAGATGTGCTCTCCATGAAAAAAAAAAATGAAGAGATTGCTTTTAATTTGGATAATAGAAAGGGAAATGAAAAGAGATGTAACTAGTATACTATCATTCAAGAGAAAGCTAGAGAAATTTTTGAAGAACTGAAGAAACAAATTGCACTTTTGTCATACGAGGAGATAGAATTCAAGGCTACCACTGGATGGTTTGCAAAGTTTAGAAGCAGATCTGGCATTAAACATGTCATAATTCACGGTGAGTCTGCTAGTGCAGATAAAGAAGCTGAGAAGTTCTGTCTCAAATTTGAAAAATTCATTAAAAAAAGAAGGATATTGGCCACAACGAATTTTCAATTGTGAACGAACTGGTTTATTTTGGAAGCACATGCCTAACATACCTACATCACAAAAGACAGAAAAAATATTTCTGGGTATAAACCCATGAAAGACAGATTGATGTTACTTTTGGGAGCTAAAGCTAGTGGTGATAAGAAGCTTATCCCGCTTCTTGTCTATCACGCTGAGAACCCTAGAGCACCCAAAAAAAATTTTGTAATTAAAGAAAGACTGCCAGTGATGTGGAGATTGAATAAAAGGGCATGGGTCACACAGGCTCTTTTCAAAGAATGGCTGTTTGAAGTTTGTGCTCCAAGCATTAAGGATTACCTTCAGGCCAATGAATTGCCATTGAAAGCATTGTTGCTATTGGGCAATGCACCAGGACACACAAAAGACCTTGAAAATAATTTGCTGGAAGACTTTCCCTGACAGTTCAGTTTCTGCCTCTGAATACCATACTTTGTTGATTTAACTAATGGATCAAGAAGTTATTGCAGGTTTCAAGAAATTGTACATTTGAGCACTGTTTCATCAGTGTTTTGAAGCATGCCAGTTCTCCTCAATGATGACATTAAAAACATTTTGGAAGAAAAATTTTGATATTCTTGAAGCTAGCTATACAACTCATTCAAAATGTGTGGTCAGAAATCACTCAATGACAGTTGAATTCTGTCTGGCAGAAGCTGTGTCTCTCCTGCATTCAGGGAGACAAAGTGATGTCCCTGAAATTATGGATGAAATTGTGACAACTGCTAGAGATCTGGAATTGGAGGTGAATGAAGATGACATTGAAGAGCTCATACTGGAACCTGAAACTGATCTGACAACAGAAGAACTCCAAGAAACTCAGCAAGATGTGTTTTCTTCTGAAAAAAAGGAAGACGAAAGAGGATCAATGCCAACATCTGCTATTAAAGATCTTTTGAAGAAATGTGAGGATGTCAGAACAACAGTCTTAGAATGGCATTTAAACCAAGTTGAGGTTAATAGAGGATGTCTACAATGACAATGTTATTAATTACTTCCAAAAAATCCTGAAGAAAGAAAAGCAATCTAAATTGGACAGATTCTTTAATGTCCCACAAATGGAAAAACAACATGACTGATAAAAATGCAAGACTATGTATATATGTATTTTTATTATTACATATAAATAAACATGGTAAGAAAGTATATGATTTTTTATTTTTTGGAGTTTCCAGAATGAATTAATTAAATTCCCATAAAAACCTATGATAAATCGATAATCAGTTAACGAACAATTCGGATAGCGAACACAGCCTTGGAACAGATTATGTTTGTTAACTGATCACCCACAGTAGTCATTAAATCTTAATTTCTTTCATATAAGTATAAGAGATACTGTTTCAAAACTGGAATATACTATTAGTACAAGTCTTAGAAAAAAAAAGACTCTAATGAAGTGAATTATATTTTTCAATGATTAGTCAATGTTTAAGTGATGGTAATTTTTCATATTTTTTTCTGTCTAGTCTTTATTTCTTTTTTGAATGGGAAAATGGAATTTTTGAGATTTTTTTTTCTTCAATAACAAAAAATTATTCTATTAATAATTTCAGAAATATAAAATGAATAAAGTATTGAAACTTTTTCATTCTCTTCTAGTATGAAAGTGAGCAGTTTTTTATTCATTTAAGTTGACAAATGAGTTTACTAATTTATTTTATTCAAAAAACAGCTACTATGCAGTGATTGTCACATTTATTTAAATTGAATAAAATAAAAATTTTGTTTTTGGTCTGATTAATTACTTTTCCAATCTTTGGGATGTAGGAAAGTATCTCTTGCAGATTTCTCACAGATTAAACAACATATAAGATAAACAGATTGAACACAAACTGTTTATCTTATAGGACAATAAGAAATCCATTTGAAATACAAAAAAAATAATTTGAGAATTTTCTATGGAATAATATTTAATACATTATACTTTCTAAAATACATAAGACATAATTCTCTTGAAGGGTTATCACACAATTGAAATGATTATTGCCCTATTTACAACCTAAAATGCATTTCATTATTATATATAAGGCAAAAAATACATTATGATCACCTAACTGATGACAGAGCTAGTTGAGTGCCTTGAGAGATGTTTACAGGATGTGGGTGCTAGATGCATCCTCAATCAACATTGTAATAACTGTTGATAGTTATAACATATGCTTATATATACTGATGAGTACTGATTGGTTTTCCCTTGTCTCCAGATAACAATTCGAAATCTTTTGAACCACATGAGATGTTCACATTGATGCTCAACCTGTTACTAATCAGATAGTATTCCTCTGAACTTTGAAACTCTCCATTGTAATTCCAGCTTTTTGTTTACCTTTCTGACAAATAATTTTTTATAGTCTTTGTGAGACTGTTGGGCACTCATTAAGTTTTGTGTCGGTTTTTATTTTCTAAAGGTGAGAATTTAACTGTCCTATCAGACATTTGTTAACATTTTAACACCAAACTTTTGAATTTTATTCAGGNTATTGTTTAAAAAATATTGAAAAGCTTTAAATTGAATAGAGAAAATATAAATGTATTCTAAAATGAATTGGAATATAATATTAATATGGGACATTTTTAATAAAATGTGTTTTTTTTTCTATTTTAATGTTATTTATTAAAATAATGTTTAAATTTTCATTTAAATTTAACTATTTTGTTTGTTTAGATTAATGGAAGCAGGTGCAAGTAGGGTTTATGCTATCTTAACACATGGTATATTTTCTGGTCCTGCCATTTCTCGTATTAACAATGCTTGTTTTGATGCTGTTGTCGTAACCAACACTATACCTCAAGAACAACATATGAAAGAATGTTCAAAAGTACAGGTAATTAATACACACCAAATTTTTTATTTTTAAAAAATTATATTAAGAAATTAAAAATTATTAATTTAATGTGTAAATCAATGAATATCAAAAACTTGTTGACATCCATAACTGAATGCCATGATTTTCCCAGAATTAGTCTATTATCATTTGTCTTGATCAAAATTTTATTGACTTCATATTAAACATTGTTTTTTGATTCTTTATTTACACTGTAAACTGTAAATAAAGAATCAAAAAATAGTATATATTGCAGTAATATTAAGTTGTAATTTTCTATAGCAGTAATTTTGATTAAAGTAAATGATCCTCTAATAAATAATAGTTACTAAAGTTTTGTTTGCTTAATTGAATGGAAACTCAGATTCCATCTCCATCAACAGAAATCTGTTTCATATAAATAAAGTTTAAAATGAAACTAATACAATTTTTCATAAGATAACGTAAGAAAATAACTACAGGTAACCCCCGTATAACACGGCACTTCTATAGCACGAATTCACTCTAACACGGTTCGAGAATTGGTACCATCCCCCGTACAACACGGTACTTTTATAGCACGGATTCACTCTGACACGGTTCGAGAATTGGGTAAAACCCTCGAACAACAGGAACTGTAATAAATTTTTACATACTTAAGTAATAATAGTTCACGAAAATTATTATTTTCGTGAACTATTAGTACTTAAGTACGTAAATTTTCTCTTCTCGCCTTCTGTCGATACACGTGGTCCTTCTCGAAACTTGTTTCAATGTTGCCAGATCGCGACGCTTCTGCTTCTGATGTTGCCGAATGTTTTTCCCTTATTCCATACTTGCTTTATTCTTCATAAGTGCTTAGCACCATATAAGGAAATTTATAAAGACCTTTTAACTAGAAGCAAGCAATCTAAAATTACATACATTTTGCAAAAGGTAAAGCATGGATCTGAAGATAATGCAGAAAAATGCTCAGAGGATAAGGATAACTTGCCAAAAAGAAAACGCTCTCGGTTAATTAATAGTGTTTTTAGTGATGACGAAGAAAACATTGTTTAATTTATATTAATATGTATCACTTAAAAAAATTTTAATGAAGATATTTATCTTAATTATGAAAATATACTAGCATGTTTTTTAATTTTTGGAACCTAACCCTCCTTTTCGTATTAGTTCTTTGTTTCGTATAACACGGATTCGCATAACACGGCAATTTTTTGGAACGTAACTACCGTGTTATACGGGGGTTACCTGTATTTGGATGCTGGATAAATTGTAGGATATTCAAATACAGATTTTTAAATTTGCTTCCTTTCATAAAATGTAAACAAAATGATGCAAATACTGTATTTATTCTGAAATATATTGAGTAATTTGATTTTATCATTAAATAATTTAAAAATCTAGACAGAAATTTATAAATTGACATATTAATTTTTTGCTTTTTTGAAAATCAATTTAAAAAATAGAAACTTAACAGAATTCAACTCTTACATTTTAAAGAAATGTTTGAAATATATTAAATATAATATGTATTTAGAATTGCCACTTATTCTAAAAATTTGAATGCAAAATCAGTTTTTTAATAAATAAAGAAGGATGTCAACAGGTTAAATATATGAAGCATTGTTAAAATCATCATTGTAATCTTGCTGAACAAAATGTCAAAATAAATATTATTGGATTGAACTTTTTTTGGGTATTGATTTAAAAAGTTTATAATTAAATCTTAACACTTATTAGATAATAGATTATATTAAATTGGGTAGCTTTTTAAACAATTACAAATTAATAATAAAAAATGAAATTTTCATGTAAAATACTTTACATATTAAAATTATGGAAATTTGAAAAATATGAATTATCCATACTTCAATTATAATATTGAATATAATACAAATATATTTATTTTTGGTATAAATTAAATTTTATATTGTTAAATGTCATTTAATTTACATAGTCATCTTTAATACAAATATACCTACAAGATACAATCAAATTTCATTTATAAAAAATACTAAATAAAATATTAATGTGTTTTATTGCTAAAAAATAAAATGTCACTCAAAAGTTTTATTGCATGAGTGTAAGCACGTGGTGCACAAATATTACAGTGCTAAAATAACTGAAGAGAATAAATTTAAGATGATTTAGCATTGCGGCTGTTCACATTTTGTGAGAATGTGTTTCTTCTCTTTTCTATTATTCTCTTTTTATAAGTGTTTATACTTCAAAGGAGCAAAAAGGAATTGTGCATGTGCTTTTGGTACGTGAAGTTTAAAGTAAAGTTTTGAAAGTAGCGAAAGTGAAACCTAATTTGTAGAAAAGTTAGAGTATGTGCAGTTAATTAATTCAAGAAGAAGAGAGAATGGAAACTCTTATTATTTTATAAAAGAAATTAAGAAAGATGATCCTGAATTTTCAATATTTTAGGTAAGTTTTAAATATACAGGCTTATGTAAAGATAATTTATCTATTCAAACATATTTAACTTAAAATATATAAATTACAAATTACAATTCATTGAAAATAATTCTGTTCTAATTCTAATCATTTCAACTTGATCAGTCTCCGTATTGAAGGACATGAAGGATTGTGGGCTCTACCAATGCTTTTAGGCAATTCTGCAGAAAAGACCCACAGGGGTCCAAGTCTGGGAGTGTTTCGGCCATAGAACAGGACACCACTACATAGAACAACCCAGTCATGGAACAGGGCCAGGTTGTCCTATGTAGTGGTTGCCAAACCATTCTGCAAGCTGTTGAATGATACCTGTCTGGGAATGAGGTGGTGCACCATTGTGCTGGTATCAAACCTGCTGTAGTTGTGCCAATAGCAAGTCATTAGCTGTTCATCCACTGTCACATTTAAGATTTTTAAATGTTATTTAGGGTATCATCTATTTGTGGAACACACTGCTTAATGTTATCTTTTAAATTAATTAATGTTTTGCCTCTGGAAAGACATTTAAGTATTGGTTATTTCAGCACTGGAACAATCATGCACCCCATGCTTACATTCATGTAATACTGGAAAGATCTCTCTTGCCCTGGACAGATGTTTAGATGAACATCCAGTATATATAAAGTTTGGTTATTTTCAAATGGTACCTGAACATTGTTATTCTAACAAAAATAAAATGAAATTTATGTATAGACAATATTTTATTATTGTGTGTGTATAAATTTATTATTAATTGTATTAGTTTGTTTATCTTTTGATCTTTCTGTAAATAAATAAATAATTTTCATAATTCATTATTTTCATAAATATTAGAATGCATTGCTTACACTTTTATTGATTGATCAATTGACCTATAATATGTTTTAATAATCAAATAGTCAGTAGATTACCAGTTTTATTTATTTTTTATAAAATGATATGTTTTATTTTAGACTATTTGTACTATATTATAAATCTATTAGGTTGTTCGGAAAGTAAGTTTGTTTTTTTTACCTCTAGATGGATTAGTCGTATTTTTCCTGCCATTTTCATTCTAAACCGTATTATCATTATATATTTTGACAGCTAGCGTTTTAAGGCTTATTTGTAAAAAATTTTGTTCGATTTTGTGCAATTGTTTATTTTTTGTTCCCATCAAACATGGAAGGTTGAAAGTATCATTTTCAACATATTTTGCTTTTTTATTACCGAAAAATCAAAATACTGTTCAAGCAAGGAAAAAATTGTGGTACATGTATGGAGATGATGTGTTGAGAGAAAGACAGTGCCAAAACTGGTTTACAAAATTTTGTTCTGGCAATTTCAATATTGAAGATGCATCATGTTCTGGATGGCCAGTTGAAGCCAATGAAAACAAAATAAAGGTACTGATTGAAGCAAACTGCCAAATAACAACACATGAAATCACTAAGAGTTAATATACTCCCGCGAAGGTTTCTGGCATAGTACGATTGCCATGAAACTTTGGGAAGTTGTTTAATACACTCCCGCAAAGGTTTCTGGCATAGTACATTTATCCTATGTTAGATGGCGCGCGTGTATATGAGCATTTCATCATTAGAATTTCAGCATGGTTAGGAGTTGAAACTTGAAATTTGGTACACAGTTAGGGTACGTCACGAGAATGCACACTAAGAAGGGATTTTTCGAAATTTCCCCCATGGGGAAAGGGACAGGATTAAGGCTTCAACAATGGAAGTGTTAAGTAACAATAGAAGTGTTAAGAATGGAAGTGTTAAGAGAAAGCAACGTGCAAGATTTACAGGCGCAGATGTGGTTTTTTGCATTAAATCGAACATAATTTTAGACCCATCTAAAAATTTTCTAATTAGTCTGGAAACAGGGGAACCTAATTTTTGCATTCTATGAAAACAGGTAAGATTGGCTGTAATGTAATAATCTTAATCTTTGCTATTGTTACTTTTTGTCCAAGCAACGCCGGGCTTATCTGCTAGTTTGAAATAAATAATAATCAAACTTATGTGGTGATCTGTAGATTCTATGATATGAGGGCTGCAAAAGATCAAAAAGTCAACAAAATTATATATATTTTGTTGACTTTTTGTAGTAATTAAAAAACTAGAATCTGATGACAAATTCAATTCTATAGATAAATTCAAAAAAAAAAAAAAATCATATTGCTATGGATTTTTTTGAATATATCTATAGAATTGAATTTGTCTTTTTCAAAAACTTTAATATCATAAATAAACAGTTTTATAACAAATTAATTATTCACTATTATCCTTTAAAATAAATTTAATATAATTGTGTACTTAGCACAATTTAATTTTTATATTTACCACCAATAAATGGACTATTTTAGAACCAATGCATTTCTACTTTGTAAGTTTATAATGTTAATTTTGATTTCACTCATCTTAAAATCAATTAAACGGTATGTAAGAATCTCTAATATCAAGAATTTATCAAGGATTTATTTTTTTTGAAGTTTTGTGATTATTATTAACTTCTAACTAAAAATAATTATTAATTCTGGTTTATTATAATTTAAAATAATATAGATGAAAGATATGAGAAAAGTTTGATCATATTTT